ACTTGAGCGAACAAAGTCACGTGTATCCTTCAGGAGTGGGACAATGTGGTCTTTCAATTTCACCAGCTCATCTGCTGGAAGCTTCCCCAAGGCCTCACAGGCACTTGAGCGAACATTCACACTGGTATCCTTCAGGAGGGGGACGATGTGGTCTTTCAATTTCACCAGCTCATCTGCTGGAAGCGTCGTCAAAGTCTCACAGGCACTTAAGCGAACATGCCAATCTTCATCCTTCAGGAGTGGGACGATGTGGTCTTTCAATTTCACAATCTCATCTGCTGGAAGCTTCTCCAAAAACACACAGGCACTTCTGCGAACATCGCTATCTGTATCCTTCAGGAGTGGGACGATGTGGTCTTTCAATTTCACAATCTCATCTGCTGGAAGCGTCCCCAAAGTCTCGAAGGCACTTTTGCGAACAGACCAATCTGTATCCTTCAGGAGTGGGACGATGTGGTCTTTCAATTTCACAATCTCATCTGCTGGAAGCTTCCCCAAAGTCGCACAGGCATATCTGTGAACAGACCAATCTGTATCCTTCAGGAGTGGGACAATGTGGTCTTTCAATTTCACAATCTCATCTGCTGGAAGCTTCCCCAAAGTCGCACAGGCATTTGAGCGAACATGACAATTTGTATCCTTCAGGAGTGGGACGATGTGGTCTTTCAATTTCACAATCTCATCTGCTGGAAGCTTCCCCAAAGTCGCACAGGCATATCTGTGAACAGACCAATCTGTATCCTTCAGGAGTGGGACAATGTGGTCTTTCAATTTCACAATCTCATCTGCTGGAAGCTTCCCCAAAGTCGCACAGGCATTTGAGCGAACATGACAATCTGTATCCTTCAGGAGTGGGACAATGTGGTCTTTCAATTTCACAATCTCTTTTGCTGGAAACTTCCCCAAAGTCTCGCAGGCACTTTTGCGAACAGACCCATCTGTATCCTTCAGGAGTGGGACTATGTGGCCTTTCAATTTCACAATCTCATCTGCTGGAAACTTCCCCAAAGTCTCGCAGGCACTGAAGCGAACACCCCCACTGGTATCGTTCAGGAGGGGGACAATGTGGTCTTTCAATTTCACAATCTCATCTGCTGGAAGCTTCTCCAAAGTCACACAGGCAATTTCGCGAACAAGCTCATCTGTATCCTTCAGGAGTGGGACGATGTGGTCTTTCAATTTCACGATCTCATCTGCTGGAAGCTTCCCTAAAGTCACACAGGCACTTCTGCGAACAGGCCAATCTGTATGCTTCAGGAGGGGGACGATGTGGTCTTTCAATTTCACAATCTCATCTGCTGGAAGCGTCCCCAAAGTCTCGAAGGCACTTTTGCGAACAGACCAATGTGTATCCTTCAGGAGTGGGACGATGTGGTCTTTCAATTTCACAATCTCATCTGCTGGAAGCTGCCCCAAAGTCACACAGGCACTTAAGCGAACAACGTAACGTGTATCTGTCAGGAGGGGGACAATGTGGACGATGTGGTCTTTCAATTTCACAATCTCATCTGCTGGAAGCGTCCCCAAAGTCTCGAAGGCACTTTTGCGAACAGACCAATGTGTATCCTTCAGGAGTGGGACGATGTGGTCTTTCAATTTCACAATCTCATCTGCTGGAAGCTGCCCCAAAGTCACACAGGCAGTTTGGCGAACAGACCAATCTCTATCCTTGAGGAGGAGGACGATGTCGTCATCCAAGCTTCGAGCCTGGGAATTTCCCATGCTGAATCCCTAAAAAATCCCCTGGATTCCCAGGTCGGACATGGTCGGACAGAAGGGTGATGTGAATTTGGAGGTTGAATATCCGATTGATAAAAGAAAGTGTTGCATCATTTACGCTGCGCAGCCCATGTTGGGGCTCATATATATTATATCATTGTTTTATATATAATTACAATTATAATTATAGTAATGATTATTATAGTAGTAATAATAACAATAATGATAATAATAATTGAAGTGTGAATGCATGGCCTTCCATCTGCGGACTTAGGTCGAGGCTTGAGGAAAAATGTCACCGTATGCAGCACAGTGTCTGGGATAATGGTCTCAGCAACAGCCATGGATGCAACATGATGCAACGCACGAATCAAAGATTCGCTGTGAAAGCAACTTAAAGCGGGCTGCAAATGTTGAAGGGCATCCTTTGCTTAGATAGATAATACCTGCCTCTTGGGTCATGCTCTGTGGATCTAACATGATTGAACAACGCGATCTGAAACAGAACTGGAGAAGGTGGCTCAGGTACAAGAATCACACAAATGTCACACAGGTCTCAGGTGTCACACATGCAGACCCAAAAAAATCAAATAGAAAGAGGCACGTTCGACCAATGCAAACATAGGATGGATAGCTCCTGCCATTCTGCTGACGTGACCAAAAAAACGAAAATCACCAGGGCCAAGAAGGATGTGTCGCATGTGCATGCATGTGCCTGTTTCGGTGTCAACCATTCTTTCTTTGATGCCACCTGCGAACTCGCTCTCGAAGCTCAGGAGGGATTGCACTCCTGTGGCCGACCTCGTGGTGTTCTTCACTCCTGGTGCGGCGAAACATCCATAGGTCCATAAATGGCACGGCCAGCGGATCAACAAATCTCCTTACGTCCTGTTAAAACCAAGAGATCCTTTCTCCACCAGTCACGGATCAACTCGTTGGGAAAGGCATGACGTTAGCCGTCTTGCATCGCAGTTGGCGGCGGGAGTCATTGCAACGCATTGCAACAACATATGCCACCGGATCTTGTCACAAACCAAAAAACAGAAGCACCTTGATGTCGATACTTCTGGAGGGTACCATTTCCGATCAACCCAACAGTTTCTCTTTCAGCCTCCAGGGAAAAAAGAAGTCATGGGCTTCTCATGGGCTCCTTGAAAAAGTCGAACAAATCTCGATTTCGATTTCTTTTTGTCTGCTCAAGTGTATGCACTTGAATACCGCATCGCAAGTGCCACAACGTCATGGGCTGCCTTGAACGCCAGTTGCCGATGGTTCATGTCGTTCATGTCGCCAAAGCCCTCAGGCGCAGAAAGCTACAGTGGCAAAGGCATGTTCAAACTGGATGGTTTGAATCGCAAAAAGACCCAAAAAGCATGTCTGAAAGAACCAACTGCTCCTTTGCAGAGTTGGGTTCTACCCGACATGATCATGCCATGTTTGACATGGCTATGAAACCAATAGAATGATGACAATGATGCCTGACCGCTTTCAGCAATTCACACCGTCGGAGCTATCGTTTCCAAGAAAGGGACGACCTCAGTCGAAGGCAGTTTTCGGGGATTAAACACATGGACGAAATGGAGTGTTTGGAGAAGTTCCGGGATGTTCTGGGTAACAATCTCGACATGTTTGTTTTCATAGCACCGGCTCTTAAAAATTGAAACCAATCGCTCATTCTTAAGCCCATAGAAATTTGAAATGATAAACAACACCCACCGGGAAACTACACAGATATGCGACATAGTTGGCTCTCAACATCATCAGAATGCTTTAAATCACGCAGAGGGAAGTCCAGAGGAATTCAAAAAACACACTATCCATCACTATCCTTGATCCGCGCTGCCAACAGTCATCACAATATTCCAGGGATGTATTCATCGATACTCGTGGTTGATACATGGTTGATACATGGTTGATACATGGTTGATACATGGTTGATACATGTGCAACGGATCTGTATTGGTCAATTTTAGTCATTGCTTGGCGATGTACCGGCCATGTTCTCACTATACACCTACCATCACCTACCTAAAATTCAACGCTATGGTCTGTATATGTATGTATTCTACAAATTGAATCCATCTTGTTTCCCTTGTTTTTCTGGGGCACAGGACTACATCACACTGTTCCTCGATGTCCAATCTGCACCTCCAGTCGCTCCGTGCGACTCTCCAGAGGTGCTTCCTCAACCAACATCAGACGACGGATTGAGTGCCTATGGAAGGCAGCTGCATGACACAGAACATCATGTTTTCTAACATCTTAAAATTTGCCACAACAATGAGAGAAAACTTTGATGACCTGCAAATACTTAGTTCACCATAGTTCACCATCCAAAAGAAAACCAGAAACAGTCCATCTGCTTAAGCCGCCAGGTCGGCGTGTTGCCGGGTGAACTCTGCATCGCCCAGAAAAAAATGACTCGAAACATCTCGAAGCTGACTTGATTAATGGCACTCATAGTGGTACATCGTGGTACATGGTGGTACAATGAATTAAAAGCTGTGAGCACCACAATGGAAAAACCCTTGTTACCACCACGAGGGTCTCTTCCAACCGGAGCACAAAAAATCACCATCCAAGTGCACTGGTTTGCTAGAATTCAAAGGGTGCAGATTTTTTTGTTTTTTTCTTCAGTCTGGGGTATTTTTCCTGGCTATTTGCTACATGTTGGAGCAAACCTGTACTTTGCTGAATTTTGAAGCTAAAATTAGCCATTTGCACTGTTCACCGATTGTTGAAGCACAACCGTGTTGGGTCTAAATAGATTAGACAGATAGTTTAGATAGATTAGATAGATAAGAAAAGGTTAGATAAGATTAGATAAGATTAGATTAGGTTAGATTAGATAGATAAATAGATAGATAGATAGATGGGTAAAGCATGGTAAAGCATGGTAAAGCCACAAAAGTCAGAGAAGCCACAAAAGCCACAAAAGCCAGGCTGGAAAACAAACCAAAAACTCCGAAATCAAATCAGGATTCTGCCGAATTCCCCATACAAACACTTCCATTGAAGTGGTGCATTTTGACCACCAAGAAACAATTCCACGAAGCTAACATGAAGGTCTGCAATGATAACTTGCTAGCTGTGCTATAACCCACAAAAGTCAGGATCTGAAGGCCTCACTTGGCCAAAACCAAGGCGAAAGAGTGTCATAGCATCCACCTGGCCATGTCATGACACTGCGAAAGCGACGTTCCAACTCCACAGCACTTCAAGTGGGGAGCGACAAGAAGCAATTCCACAGCAAAGAAAGGAATCCAGCGCCAAAAGGTCGTTTTTCATCAATGCAGCTGCATCCTATTGCTGTAGACCCTTCACTTTGGAAGGGTGTTTAAATACAAATGGAATTATTTAGAATGGGTTCTACGTGGGCGCCTGAAGCCCCTAACAATGACTTCGGCGCCACATTAAAATTAAAAGCTGGGGCGAGGTATCTTCCTGATCTCTTTCATCAAAGGGTCTGAATATGGGTTCCCAGCAAGTTCGGCGCTGGTGTACTCTACGACGTAGTCCACATAGGCCATCTCTCCTTTCCCAACGATGAGCTCTCGACCATCCCCGAACCAGCTGTTGTCGTGGCCTTCTGGCTTGCTCTTGTTGAACTCTTCCATCTTCTTGGTCCAGTCCGCATCGGTTCGGCCGCTTTTGGGATCACCTGGAACGTAAGGAAAAAGCCGATCCGCATCGAAAGGCTTCCCTGCAGCCACACGGCACAGAAAGACACGACGTGTCTTCTTCGGCTCGTGCTGGCTCCTCCCCTCCGCGAAGAAATCGGCCAATCGGAAGTCAAGAGCAAAGCGGTGGCCCTGTCCATAGGCCGCGAATGTCATGCTGCGAAAATCATCATCAAAACCCTTCCCTTCTGTCACGATTTTGTCGAAACCTGCTTGTCCTCCCGGACCATGGAACAGCCAACAGTACTCATGCTGGGCAGTCTTGTCTTCCAGGTGCTGAACGTATTTCTTGTATGATCCGAAATTCTCGTTTCGATAGATCTTCTCAATCTTAAAACCTGGAATCTCAGTCTTATTGCCACCGAACTTCATGACAAAGTCCTTCACCTTCTGGTACTGTGCCGATCCACTGCCAACTTCTTGCAAGTACTCTTTCTTTTGGCCGTCGGATGACCACTCTGTTGGCTTGCTTCCGGTAATAAGTGGGTGTCGGATGACATCGTCGAACAATGGTTCACTCGCACAAGCACCACTTGCTGACCTTCCATTGGCCAAATCGGACCCAAGGAACTGAAAACCCTTTGCAAAAAAGCTTTGCCACAAATTGATCGGCAAGGACGTGAGCTGCAGGCGATCTGTGCAAAAGTTGAAAGCTTCCATGGCAGTGTGGTGGCAGTTGTTCCTTCCAACATCGTACCCATCAAGGCTGAACAAGTATGTCACCAAACTCTTGGGGGATATGCTGCGTTTCACGTCAGAGCCCTTTAGTGGTGCCACTTTTTCAAGTAGGACCAAGTGGGGCACTGTTCGTACCTCTTCCCAATCGGATACGAAGAGACCCTTCTTAGTGGCTTGCTTAATCTCCAGTTTCTGGCTGACCAAATCATATTGAACAGAACGAGCTCTTTCAATTGCATAAGCAAAATCTTTCACTTTCACCACAAGCAAACTGTGCTGGCCACCAAACTGGTGAGCCCACCCAGACAAAGGCATCGTGTACCAGGAAACAGTTTCGATTTGATTGTCATCCTGTAGAGCCCTTGCTATGGCCATCCCACTTCCACCTTTGGTGTTGAGAAAGTCGCTCTTCAGCCTCTCTGCCAAATCCAAATGGCCTTCCCTACGGGCAATTTCGGAAGGGGTCCTTCCGTCACTATCCTTTTCTTCAGCGGAAAAGCCACTGCGAAGCAGCAACGAACATGCCGGCCAATCCCCGGCTGCTGCGGCAAAATGAAGTAGAAAAGCTGGGCGCAACTTCTCGACAAGAGAGATCAAATCCTTCGTCACTTCCAGCTGGCCAAAGAGCGCAAAGGCTCCTTTGCGAACCTCCTTCCGGAGCAGGAGGGGGACGATAAGTTTCGCCAGCTCATCTGCTGGAAGCTTCCCCAAAGTCACACAGGCATTTGAGCGAACATCCTCGCTGGTATCGTTCAGGAGTGGGACAAAGTGGTCTTTCAATTTCACAATCTCATCTGCTGGAAGCTTCCCCAAAGTCACACAGGCATTTGAGCGAACATCCTCGCTGGTATCGTTCAGGAGTGGGACAAAGTGGTCTTTCAATTTCACAATCTCATCTGCTGGAAGCTTCCCCAAAGTCTCGCAGGCACTTGAGCGAATAGACACAAAATCTCCATCCTTCAGGAGTGGGACGATGTGGTCTTTCAATTTCACAATCTCATCTGCTGGAAGCTTCACCAAAATCTTGCAGGCACTTGAGCGAACACTCGGCAGGAAATCCTCCAGGAGGGGGACGATGTGGTCTTTCAATTTCACAATCTCATCTGCTGGAAGCTTCCCCAAAGTCTCGCAGGCACTTGTGCGAACAGGCCAATCTGCATCCCTCAGGAGTGGGACGATGTGGTCTTTCAATTTCACCAGCTCATCTGCTGGAAGCTTCACCAAAATCGTGCAGGCACTTGAGCGAACACTCGGCAGGAAATCCTCCAGGAGGGGGACGATGTGGTCTTTCAATTTCACAATCTCATCTGCTGGAAGCTTCCCCAAAGTCTCGCAGGCACTTGTGCGAACAGGCCAATCTGCATCCCTCAGGAGTGGGACGATGTGGTCTTTCAATTTCACAATCTCATCTGCTGGAAGCGTCCTCAGAGACTCGCAGGCATTTTTGCGAACAGGCCAATCTGTATCCTTCAGGAGTGGGACGATGTGGTCTTTCAATTTCACAATCTTATCTGCTGGAAGCTTCTCCAAAGTCACCCAGGCACTTTTGCGAACATGCAAATCTGTATCCTTCAGGAGGGGGACGATGTGGTCTTTCAATTTCACAATCTCATCTGCTGGAAGCTTCTCCAAAGTCACCCAGGCACTTCTGCGAACATCGCTATCTGTATCCTTCAGGAGTGGGACGATGTGGTCTTTCAATTTCACAATCTCATCTGCTGGAAGCTTCCCCAAAGTCTCGCAAGCACTTTTGCGAACAGACCTATCTCTTTCCTTCAGGAGTGGGACGATGTGGTCTTTCAATTTCACAATCTCATCTGCTGAAAACTTCTCCAAAAACACACAGGCACATTCGCGAACAAACCTATCTGTATCCTTCAGGAGGGGGACAATGTGGCCTTTCAATTTCACAATCTCATCTGCTGGAAACTTCCCCAAAGTCTCGCAGGCACTTGAGCGAACAGAACAATCTGTATCCTTCAGGAGTGGGACGATGTGGTCTTTCAATTTCACCAGCTCATCTGCTGGAAGCTTCCCAAAAGTCTCGCAGGCACTTTTGCGAACAGACCAATCTGTATCCTTCAGGAGTGGGACGATGTGGTCTTTCAATTTCACAATCTCATCTGCTGGAAGCTTCCCCAAAGTCTCGCAGGCACTTGAGCGAATAGACACAAAATCTCCATCCTTCAGGAGTGGGACGATGTGGTCTTTCAATTTCACAATCTCATCTGCTGGAAGCTTCCCCAAAGTCTCGCAGGCACTTTCGCGAACAGACCAAGAATTTGTATCCTTCAAGAGTGGGACGCTGTGGTCTTTCAATTCCACCAGCTCATCTGCTGGAAGCTTCATCTGCTGGAAGCTTCCCCAAAGTCTCGCAGGCACTTGTGCGAACAGGCCAATCTGCATCCCTCAGGAGTGGGACGATGTGGTCTTTCAATTTCACCAGCTCATCTGCTGGAAGCTTCACCAAAATCGTGCAGGCACTTGAGCGAACACTCGGCAGGAAATCCTCCAGGAGGGGGACGATGTGGTCTTTCAATTTCACAATCTCATCTGCTGGAAGCTTCCCCAAAGTCTCGCAGGCACTTGTGCGAACAGGCCAATCTGCATCCCTCAGGAGTGGGACGATGTGGTCTTTCAATTTCACAATCTCATCTGCTGGAAGCGTCCTCAGAGACTCGCAGGCATTTTTGCGAACAGGCCAATCTGTATCCTTCAGGAGTGGGACGATGTGGTCTTTCAATTTCACAATCTTATCTGCTGGAAGCTTCTCCAAAGTCACCCAGGCACTTTTGCGAACATGCAAATCTGTATCCTTCAGGAGGGGGACGATGTGGTCTTTCAATTTCACAATCTCATCTGCTGGAAGCTTCTCCAAAGTCACCCAGGCACTTCTGCGAACATCGCTATCTGTATCCTTCAGGAGTGGGACGATGTGGTCTTTCAATTTCACAATCTCATCTGCTGGAAGCTTCCCCAAAGTCTCGCAAGCACTTTTGCGAACAGACCTATCTCTTTCCTTCAGGAGTGGGACGATGTGGTCTTTCAATTTCACAATCTCATCTGCTGAAAACTTCTCCAAAAACACACAGGCACATTCGCGAACAAACCTATCTGTATCCTTCAGGAGGGGGACAATGTGGCCTTTCAATTTCACAATCTCATCTGCTGGAAACTTCCCCAAAGTCTCGCAGGCACTTGAGCGAACAGAACAATCTGTATCCTTCAGGAGTGGGACGATGTGGTCTTTCAATTTCACAATCTCATCTGCTGGAAGCTTCCCAAAAGTCTCGCAGGCACTTTTGCGAACAGACCAATCTGTATCCTTCAGGAGTGGGACGATGTGGTCTTTCAATTTCACAATCTCATCTGCTGGAAGCTTCCCCAAAGTCTCGCAGGCACTTGAGCGAATAGACACAAAATCTCCATCCTTCAGGAGTGGGACGATGTGGTCTTTCAATTTCACAATCTCATCTGCTGGAAGCTTCCCCAAAGTCTCGCAGGCACTGAAGCGCCAAGAATTTGTATCCTTCAGGAGTGGGACGATGTGGTCTTTCAATTTCATAATCTCATCTGCTGGAAGCTTCCCCAAAGTCTCGCAGGCACTTGAGCGAACAGAACAATATGTCTCCTTCAGGAGTGGGACGATGTGGTCTTTCAATTTCACAATCTCATCTGCTGGAAGCTTCCCCAAAGTCTCGCAGGCCTTTGAGCGAACATGCCAATCTTCATCCTTCAGGAGTGGGACGATGTGGTCTTTCAATTTCACAATCTCATCTGCTGGAAGCTTCCCCAAAGTCTCGCAGGCACTTTCGCGAACAGACCAAGAATTTGTATCCTTCAGGAGTGGGACGATGTGGTCTTTCAATTTCACAATCTCATCTGCTGGAAGCGTCCTCAAAGTCCTCATATTACTATCCTTGAGGAGGGGGGCGATGTCATCCAAGCTTCGATCCGAGGAACGCTCCATGCTGAATCCCTAAAAAATCACCTGGATTCCCAGGTCGGACACGGTTGGACAGAAGGGTGATGTGAATTTGGGGGTTGCATATCCGATTGATAAAAGAAAGTGTTGCATCATTTACGCTGCGCAGCCCATGTTGGGGCTCATATATGTTATATTATTGTCAAATTTTAATTATAAATAATTTATAATTATAGTAATAATTATATAGTAATAATAATTATAGTAATAACAACAATGATAATAATAATTGAACTGTGAATGCATGGCCTTCCATCTGCAGACTTAGGTTGAGGCTTGAGGAAAAATGTCACGCTATGCAGCACAGTGTCTGGGATAATGGTCTCAGCAACGCCATGGATGCAACATGATGCAACGCACGAATCAAAGATTCGCTGTGAAAGCAACTTAAACCGGGCTGCAAATGTTGAAGGGCATCCTTTGCTTAGATAGATAATACCTGCCTCTGGTCATGCTCTGTGGATCTAACATGATTGAACAACGCGATCTGAAACAGAACTGGAGAAGGTGGCTCAGGTACAAGAATCACACAAATGTCACACAGGTCTCAGGTGTCACACATGCAGACCCAAAAACATCAAATAGAAACAGGCACATTCGACCAATGCAAGCATAGGATGGATAGCTCCTGCCATTCTGCTGACGTGACAAAAAAACGAAAATCACCAGGGTCAAGAAGGATGTGTCGCATGTGCATGCATGTGCCTGTTTCGGTGTCAACCATTCTTTGATGCCACCTGCGAACTCGCTCTCGAAGCTCAGGAGGGATTGCACTCCTGTGGCGGACCTCGTGGTGTTCTTCACTCCGGGTGCAGTGAAACTTCATCCATGGAAAGAATGGGAACAGATCTCTTTCTCCACCAGTTCCCATGATCAACTCATTGGGACAAGCATGACGTTTGCTGTGACGTTTGCTGTGCCGTCTTACATTGCAACGGCTTAGGCAGGAGTCAGCATTGCAACGCATTGCAACTGCCACCAACTCTTGTCACAAACAAAAAAAACACAAGCACCTTGATGTCGATACTTCTGGAGGGTACGATTTCCAATCAACCCAACAGTTTCTCTTTCAGCCTCCAGGGAAAAAAGAAGTCATGGGCTTCTCATGGGCTCCTTGAAAAAGTCGAAGAAATCTCGATTTCTTTACGTCTGCTCACGGGATCTCAAGTGTATGCAATTGAATACCGCATCGCTGCCACAACGTCATGGGCTGCCTTGAACGCCAGTTGCCGATGGTTCATGTCGTTCATGTCGCCAAGGCCCTCAGGCGCAGAAAGCTACAGTGGCGAAATGTGGCAAAGGCATTCAGTACAGGTGCATCGTGTCTACTAAGGTCAAAACATGTCAAAACAATCTTCAAGCATGTTCAAACTGGATGGTTTGAATCGCAAAAAGACCCAAAAAGCATGTCTGAAAGAACCAACTGCTCCCAGAGTTCGGCTCTACCCGACATGATCATGCCATGTTTGACATGGCGATGAAACCAATAGAATGATGATGACAATGACAATGATTCCCACCTGGCTCGGAGTTTGTCTCATGAGATGGACTCGTGTCGTTTCCGGACGACCTCGGCAGTTTTCGGGGAAAGACGTGGACGAAAGTTCGAGTGTTTGGAGAAGTTCCGGGATGGGTAACAATAGCGACATGCCTGTTTTCATGGCAGCTCTTAAAGACTGAAACCAATCGCTCATTCTCATGCATGCCCATGGAAATTAGAAATAGAAAACAACACCCCCGGGAAAATACACAGATATGCGACATAGTTGGCTCTCAACATCATCAGAATGTGTTCTTAAATCATGCAGAGGGAAGTCCAAAGGAATTCAAAAAACACTATCCTTGATCCGTGCTGCCAGTAGTCACAATATTCCAGGGATGTATTCATCGATGCTCGTACTTGATACATGGTTGATACATGTGCACCAGATCTGTAGTCAATGTTGGTTGCTTGGCGATGTACCATGGCAATGTTCTCCCTCTACACCTACCATCACCTACCCAAATTTCAACATGCGCTATGGTATTCTCCAAATTGAATCCAGCGTGTTTCCCGTGTTTCTTCTGGGGCGAAGGACTGCATCACACTGTTCCTGTCCAATCACCTCCAGTCGCTCCGTGCGACTCTACAGAGGTGCTTTCTCAACCAACATCAGACGACGGATTGAGTGCCTATTGAAGACAGCTGAATGACACAGAAAATAACGTTTTCTAACATGTGAAAATTTGCCACAACAGTGAGAGAAAACTTTGATGACCTGCAAATACTTAGAGTTCGCAATCCAAAAAAAATACCAGAAATCATCGTTGAATTTTCATCTCCAAATGTTCAGTGCTTCGTACCTTGACGCAGAAAACAGTCCATCCGCTTGAGCGGCCGGGTCGGCGTGTTGCAGGGTGAACTCTGCACCGCCCAGGAAAAAATGACTCGAAACATCTAAACTCACTGTTCCTTGCTATTTGCTACATTTTGGAGCAAAACCTGTACTTTGCTGAATTTTGGAGAGAAAATGTGCCATTTGCACTGTTCACCGATTGTTGAAGCACAACCGTGTTGGGTCTAAATGGATTGGATATAGATTGTGTATGGCCCAAATATTGTAACAGTGGCACGAAATGGGGCACGATTTGGAGCACGCCGAAAACAGCAAAATCCAGGCAAATCAATGACCTATGTGCAAAGAGGTTTTCCCAAGATAAGACACACCCAACCACCCTGCGCGAGTGTTTTTCCTTTTCCCAGTTGATCTTATAAAAATGAAGCTTGGAGCTGAATCATTTTGGCAAGGCTGTGGGTTCAAGTCTGGAATTCACACTGGTTGTGATGTTTGGTGTTCGGCTTTCAATATTCTTCTAATTTGGGAGGCTGGCCTCTGACCAGATCCTGGCCCAGGCTCCAAAAAGGAAAACAATCTAAAACCGGCGTTTTTCTGGTTTTACCGGCATTTTTCCATTTAAAATGCAGCAAGCAAGTAGTAACAGAAGCACGAATTGGAGCACGATTTGGTGCGCGGCAAAACGGGAAAAAAAACACAAATTGGAGCACGATTTGGTGCACGGCAAACCGGAAAAAAAAACACGAATTGGAGCACGATTTGGTGCGCGGCAAAACGGGAAAAAAAAAAAACACAAATTGGAGCACGATTTGGTGCACGGCAAACCGGAAAAAAAAACACGAATTGGAGCACGATTTGGTGCACGGCAAACCGGGAAAAAAAACACGAATTGGAGCACGATTTGGTGCACGGCAAACCGGGAAAAAAAGCACGAATTGGAGCACGATTTGGTGCACGGCAAACCGGGAAAAAAAGCACGAATTGGAGCACGATTTGGTGCACGGCAAACCGGGAAAAAAGACACGAATTGGAAGCACGATTTGGTGCACGGCAAACCGGGAAAAAAAACACGAATTGGAGCACGATTTGGTGCACGGAGCAGGACAGGATTTATCGCAGCTTAGGCGAGACTTGGGACCAAAGTGGTTTTGAGGCTATTCAAGTTTGAAAGGAAAACGCGGTGCTCTAAATGGTGCTATTTTTGGTGTTTTTTCCTTTAAACATGTATTGAAAAAGCAGGATTTTTAGCACCATTTGGTGCACGGCAAAATTGACACAAAATACGACTGGCAATCCTTTAGGTGTGACACCGGCAAAACCGCAAGCATAAGTTTACGAAAACACACACCAGCCCAGCAACTACAAAACTCAAACGGGGAGAGGAAGCGCAAGTGGGAAAAAAAGCACGAATTGGAGCACGATTTGGTGCACGGCAAAACGGGAAAAAAAACACAAACTGCAGCACGATTTGGTGCACGGCAAACCGGGAAAAAAAGCACGAATTGGAGCACGATTTGGTGCACGGCAAACCGGGAAAAAAAGCACGAATTGGAGCACGATTTGGTGCACGGCAAACTGGAAAAAAAAGCACGAATTGGAGCACGGTTTGGTGCACAGCAAACCGGGAAAAAAAGCACGAATTGGAGCACGATTTGGTGCACGGCAAACCGGAAAAAAGAGCACGAATTGGAGCACGATTTGGTGCACGGCAAACCGGGGAAAAAAAACACGAATTGGAGCACGATTTGGCACTGCAAACCGGGAAAAAAAACACGAATTGACGAATTGGAGCACGATTTGGTGCACGGCAAACCGGGAAAAAAAAACGAATTGGAAGCACGATTTGGTGCACGGCAAACCGGGAAAAAAAGCACGAATTGGAGCACGATTTGGTGCACGGCAACCCGGGAAAAAAAAGCACAAATTGGAGCGCTATTTGGTGCACGGCAAACCGGGAAAAAAAGCACAACTTGGAGCGCGATTTGGTGCACGGCAAACCGGGAAAAAAAACACGAATTGGAGCACGATTTGGTGCACGGCAAGTTGGGAAAAAAAGCACGAATTGGAAATACCCCTTAAACAAAAATAATGAATATGTCCCCAGGCCCAACAATCCTTGAAGAATTATAGGACCGGATAACCCCACATGTTAACAAGGTCTCCAGACTTAGACTGAGCACAGAAAAGCAACAAGGGAAGAGGAAGTATGAGAGTGATGGAGGGTAATAGTGGGTGAGTTTGTCTGTATCTATGTATGTGCATGTACAGGTGTATCACTTTGGTAGTGTGTTAACGACATGTGTACCGGGTGTGAGAGGCAGTTTGTCAGTGAGAGTGAGTGATTGAGTGTGAGTGCGTGTGTGAGTGAGTGTGAGTGAGTGTGAGTGAGTGTGAGTGAGTGTGAGTGAGTGTGAGAGTGTGAGCGTGAGTGTGAGTGTGAGTGACAGTGTGAAGTGTGGGTGTGAGTGTGAGTGTGATTGGGTGAGTGAGAGTGAGTGTGGGAGAGTGAGTGTGAGTGAGTGTGAGTGAGTGTGAGTGAGTGAGAGTGAGTGAGTGAGTGTGAGTGGGTGAGTGAGAGTGAGTGTGGGTGAGTGAGTGTGAGTGAGTGTGAGTGAGTGTGAGTGAGTGTGAGTGAGTGTGAGTGAGTGT